GTCGGGAGGGGATGGACGTCATAGCTTTGAATCTGAGTTGGGTCTGTCGTAACTTCAAGGAGTCGTAACCAAAAGACTAACCGTGCTTCACCGCAGGAACTGTAAAGAACCCCGTCCCTCCTTTCCCCAAAGGCCGTTTGTTTCCCTGCTGCCAGCAGCCAAGAGAAGAAGGGCTGAAGTGGGAGTCAGGCAACGGGGAAATCGAGCGTTTTTTTCCTACCGGTTCTGTGGGCGTGGCTTGGTGGGAGTCATGTGACTGAGCGGGTGTGGCTATGTAGTCATGTGACTTTTTCCACCCTAGAAAGAGGGGAGAAGGCTTCCGACACGGCTGAGGCTCAGGATCCTTGGGAGCCAAGGACATTCCTGCCTTCCCTTCAGCCGAACCGGGAGGGGTTCACCCCTGGAGTCATGTCTCCCCCACGTGTGGCTTCCCTTGGCTGTTCTTGTTGGGGGTGTCACTTCAGGCCGGTTTCAAGCATGGAAGCCAGAAGGGGAGCCCCCAAGGTCCTGGGCTTACTTTGCACGGGCAGGAGAGGAAGCTGAGGAGGCTTGGGGTGCCTTCTGGGAAAGAGGAGGACCGGGGGGGATCCCCGGAGAAGCAGCTGGGGTGGTTGTCAGTTGAGGGGGGGGGGGCATGGCATGGGAGGGGTTTCCTGAGATGGCAGAGTGGGGAAGAGCTCACACGGGTGTCCCCCTCCTCCCTCTCCTCCCCATGGCAGGTGGTTTGAGCCCTTTGTGGTACAGTGGCTGGATGAGAACGAAGACGTCTCGATGGAATTCTTGCACGGCGCTCTGGAGCGAGACAAGAAGGACGGGGTAGGTGGGGGTCCCGGATGCCTGGGAGAAGGGGACCCTCCTTGGGCCCTGCAGCCCCTGGGGGGGAGCACTGCTCGGCCCCAGGCAGGACGGGCTGCGGCTGCTGAAGTGGAAAAGGACATGCCCCCACCCCAGCCCAGCCCTTTCCCGGCCTGGAAGGCTTGGCCTGTGGGAGGGGGTTTCGGGTGTGTCAGCCTGGCCTGGGAAGCAGATGGGCCAGGGGGGTGGCCTCTGGTTGCCCCCCGTCTTGTGCTGAAGGAGAAGCCTCCTTGCCTTGAATGGCTCTGCTGAACTGGCCCTCAGAGGGTGGCAGCAGCTGGCGATGAAGAGGGAGGGAAGGGGGGGGTCAGAATTATCTTGAGGAGAATTGGGGGGGCAGGAAATGGGGGAATCCCTTAGGAAAGGATGCTTCTTTCAGGCTCTCTCTCCCTGTGTGGAGTCCCAGGTGACCTGGATTTCCCAGCCTGGGGCCTCCCTCACCAGATGTTGAACAGGTGTGGGGAGGGCCCTGAGCAGGGGCTGCGGGTGAGGCCTCTCCCCTCTCAACTGTATGCTGCTCAGAGCCGCGGAGACGTGGAGACAGGCAGCGTAGAAGGATAGTAAACTGGAACCAACCCTGTAGGAAAGAGGAGAGCCCGCGTACTGCTCTGCCCCCAGTCCCCCAAACTCTCCCAAGGGGGTGACAACCATGGGGCCAGCCCCATAACTGATGGCATGGAAGGCTGCTGAATGGTGGGCTCCTCCCACTCTCCTCAGAGGTCATCAGTGCCATTTTAATCTGGCCCCTGGTCCTGGAGGCTCCAGATAATTCGCCTCCTGGGAGCCCTGCTCAACAGCCTTCCCTGAATAGGGCAATGTGGAGAACCGTCGCGCCCTTGCAGAGCCTCCCGGAGGGCTCCCTCAAAGGAGGGCCTGGGGGACCCCCCCCTCGCCACCCCCGGAATCTCATCCTAGGCCTGAGCCAACCAGGGAGGGCCTGGGCCTCCCACTGCCCACCTCCTCAGGACTCCAACTCTTCCCAGATCCCCCAGCCAAGCTCTGCCCCAGGCCCTCCGCGGGACTCGCCTCAAGCAAGGCCCAACGTAGGGGAAGAGCTGAGGGACTCCGTGCCTTTGGGGGNAGGTGCGAACTGGTAGGAACCCACCTCTGGTTCAAAGCCTAAAGCTATTAAGTAAGTTTGCTTCTAAATTTTATAGTCTCAATTTTACTTAATTTGAGTAGTGGGAAAGCCAGTTCCTGTTCTAATCCTATGTTGTAAAACTATCTTAAATATTGCAAAATGTACTTCAAAATCCAGCAACGAAGGCTTAACCAAAAGACCATAAATCCTGATCTCTATGGTCACAGCAGCTTTTGCAAAAAAATAGACCTGATAAGTTATGTTGCCTTACAGTTCTATCTTCCATTATATCTCAAAAATAACACTATTTATTTGCATATTTAGGTGATTAAATGAGATACAAAAGTGCCACAGCTGGATGAATAAGTGTTGCCTCTATATTACAACACATACAAGAATTCCTGTTTTATGTATGTTTAATTGATGCATTGTGTATTATCTGTTTTCTCCTCCAAACACTTGAGGACAATTGCTGTTAGAATATTAGTATTATTATCAACATATATCATTTTTATTTATTTCTGCATGTGGATGTGTGAATTTACAGTACAAGATGTCAAAAGTTTTTGATTAGTAGCTACATCACCAAAGATAAGCGTATGTTTACACAAGAGTTTTTTTCCAGAAAATTGCAAAAGCAAAACAATATATCAAAAAGAATGTTGTATTTCTCAGATAAGAGCTTCCTAGCTGCATCAGATATCAGCTATGATCACATGTTCTGCTAAGCCATGATTTGGGCAGCTCAAAGATAGATGTGGATAGATAGATGATAGAGAGATAGAAAGATGATAGAGTAGGGCAGTAGTGGGTTCCTACCGGTTTGGACCAGTTCAGCTGAACTGGTAGTGGTTTAGCGGCCTGGGTCGCTGGAACTGGCAATGACCCAGGCCTGCCACATCCCTGAACTTTTTTTGACAAAACACGGGCCTATTTTTGCGAAAAACGGGCCATGTTTTGCTCATTTTTGGGCCCCCACCCCACAAGAGCAATCTGCAAGCCCTCCAGAGCTATTCATGCCTTTTATTTGAAAAAAATAGGCCCATTTTTGCCAAAAATGGGCCATTTTGGGGAGATTTGCAGAGTGCAAAAAATGTTTTTTTTTTCCCCGTTTGGAAAGCTCTTTAGTTAGAGTGATTGATGAGAATTAAATTAATCAAGTGATGTGCCAACAGAAACAAGTCTTAGGTGCTGCAGATTGTCAGCGATTTTCTTCTCCAGCACATGGATAAATATACTTGAAAACATCTACCTACCTACCTACTCTCTCTCTCTCCCTCCCTACCTACTGTATTTCTCTCTCTCTCTCCCTCTCTATCCCTATATCTATTTACCTATCTACCTACTCTCTCCCTCTCCCTCCCTACCTACTGTATTTCTCTCTCTCTCTCCCTACCTATCTACCTACTCTCTCTCTCCCTACCTACCTGCTGTATTTCTCTCTCTCTATCCCTCTACCTACCTACCTACCTACCTACCTACCTACCTACCTACCTACCTACCTACC